TTATGAGCGAATGCTGAACAATTCTCGGTTCGACCCAAAATTTGGCCAAATGATAAAACATGACATTTTGGGAGGGAAATCTTTTTGTTTGGTTCACGGTACAAACGAAATGTAGCAATAATAAAAGACTCATTTTTTGCTAAACCAAAGCGAAATATGGTTTACAAGTTATTGGGTTTCTGTAATGCAATCACCATACAATGTCCGTTCAATAACTAAGTTATTTTAACTTTATGGGAAGTGTACAATGTTATTTTAATTGTTCATTTATATTCCCAGCATTGCTTTTAATAAAACATTTTGTCAAGGGTTTGCTATTCTTGGGGACATGGGGATAATTGGGTTCGCTGTTTTTGACATGGAAATGTTGAGTTCGCTAATCTTGACAAGATCCCATATCTATAACAGTAAAATATGACACAATAGTTAAAAACTTAATGAATGCTCTGAGGTATGTCTATAGTCATCATGTATGCTTCAATATAATGAGAAAAAATAGAATCGAAACATTTGACAAGATTAGATCATTCCCAGTATTTATCCATTAACAGTTCGTTGTTTTCTCGTTTCACAATCAGAGTAATGAAAAATAGACCCCCACCCCGAAAAAAAAAAAAAAAAAAAAAAAAACCAAAAAAAAAAAACAATAATACTCTTTTCATACACTAGACAACTTGAAAGTATTTAATGCGGGTCACTTTAAGGGAGAAGGGGGTTTAGCATTTGTTACTTTTGTTTAGGTATCTGCAATAATTCGCCGAAAAAACAGACTAGCATGATGAAAAAAAGGCCCCAAACTTAATAAAAAAAAGTTTTATCGTCAAAATGCTAATTAAGAGGAAAGAAAGTATTTTTTGATTATTTTATTAAATTTTTTCATCCTTTCTAGCACGTTCGAAATTTTGGTGAAAATCTTTCTTTTTTACGTCAGCGGCCGATGTAATATTTGCCATTAGTTTTTTAGCGCCCCTTTTCAGGTTAAAAACACATTAATTTGGAAATTCTTGCAAAAATCAAATAATTGTCGAATTTTAATGAAACTTTCAGAATTTATTCACAAATGAATGAAATTAATTTAGTCATATTTTTTTTAGAAAGTCATGGTTATTTTTACATTTGTTACCTCACCCTTATTTAATTTTATGAAAACTCGAGAAATTAGATGACGTTCCTTTTAGTGATTATATTAATTAATAGCAAAAGACAGAAGAATATAAGTCATCGATTATCTTTTTGTAAAATCAAAATACACAGCTACCCAAAAATTCAGCTCTGAATTATATAATACAAAACCCAATAAAACTAAAATATTATTTAATTAGAAAATCTTTTAGTGACTTTTCTGAATAATATATGTTAAGGACAATATTGTCTGAAGCCAAAATAATTTTCCGAAGAAAAATGAATTTTTACAAGAATTTTCTTTTTTTTTAAATTTAAATAAAAAGAATATGATAAATGTATTAAAGTTTCAATCTGTTCTTTTTAGGGAATTCTGTTATTAAGTAGATCTATTTTACAGATCATAAATTTGAAATCTTATTACAATCTGCGATACACAGGCATTTTAAAAAATATTTTTGACTATGCGAAAATTTTTAAAAACGTTTTTCCAACTATATGGATGGACATGTTTTTTATGACATCAAAAACCCGTCCTCAGAAAATTTTTGTTTTCCTTCTGGCGAGTACTGGCTGACCATCATCGTCGCAATTTCAAAATTTCTAATTTTCTTTTTACATCCCATTTCACTAAATATTTTAATTTAATTTTTTTTTTTAAATATAATAAATTTATTGTTTTTCAGTGAGAGACATACTGCAATTAATTAATTTCTGTTTTAGTTTCAATTTTAGGGACGGAAACAGTGCAGGCTTCATTAAAAAAAGAACCTAAAAATATCAATAAAATTTTTGAAAGTATTTAATTTTATTTCCCCAGAAATCCTCTTTAAACTAAAAGCATATGAAAAGTATATGAAAAAAAATCAATAAAATATGAAAAAAAAATCAATAAAATATTAAATTTAAAAAGTTTAATATTTTATTGATTTTTTTAATTTTTAAAAATTACTGTATAGTTAAATAATCTGGTTCACTTAAAATTCGAAAATGTTATCACTTCTGTTCTTCCGTTCGATAACTTCCCTTCACGTAAGCTGTTAATACATCGACGTAAACGTCAATTCGCACTTCCAAAACAAGTCACCACATGCTTCTCTTATTTTCAACTAATTTTTTGCTGCTAAAAATTAAGTAATGCTTGTTTCCAATTACATAAAGTAAACTTTAAATTTTCTAATTTTCTTTAAGTAACTTTTGAAAAAGGTATAATTGATTTTTTCAAGATTTTTAAACGAAGAATTTAACTTTTGTTTACAAATTTTTCAAAAATAGCGGAAATCGTCGATTTTTGGCAATTTTTTTGACTAAAAAAAAAGATGAAAAAATGTAAAAAAAAAAATAAAATAAATGATAAAAATAGTTTGGTCTTTCCTCTTTAACAGTGGCATATCTAGTGTTTTTGCTTCCCCTCTCCAGAAGGAATACAATATTACAATACACATTTAATCCCTTAAAGTTTATATTTGTCGTATTTTTGCCGGCGAATTTTCACCTCAATGTGCTTAATAAGACAAATATTTTATTTGTGGTCCAATCATTAAAAGAATTACATGTATGAGAAGAGAATAAAAGAAGCATTTTAAGAATTATGTTAATATTTTGTGCCTTCAGACATTGAATATTTTTATATACTATTTTTTATGACATCTTCTGCCCTATTTTCACACTTGGGATATGTCTGTATTTCTGTTAACGTAGTATTTATAACTTCTCACTGATAAATTATGAAATAACAAGCACAATTGTGTTTATTTTTTAAAAATAAAACTGGGAATATATAAAAAATAACGTTACTTTTTTTTTCTAAATGTGGAAAACTTTAAAACCTTTTTACGATATAAAAAGAAAGATAACTTCTTTTTTATACCCTCTGTTTTCAAAACAAACCAAAGACACATTGTACTTTTAATTCATAATTTATCAGTTTTTTAATATTTATTTCAATTCTAACAAGTGAGGAGTCATAAATTAAATGCCACGTTAACAGAAACGCGGTTCGTTTTTCTTTTAACAACGTAAAAATGCTATTTAAATTATTTTGTTTTACGTAGTTGAAGTTATTAAAAATCCGGTAAAATTAATTTCACTTTTAACTGAAATAAATGTTATCATAATTCTTAGTCTTTTGCTTAAAAACATCAACTCTCTAGACAAAAAAATAAAACATTGCATTGTTTTACTACCGTGAAAACTTGTAAATTGAAAAAAATACCCATTTTTGGACTTTAAATTTTCTGTACTTAAGAGAATATTAATTTTCAGTTTTCTTTTAAATTTCCGTTCGATATTTCCGGAAAAAATTGGAATTGAATTATTTCACTTTATTTATCTGTTTATAATTTTATGAAAAGTAACGATTTTATATGTGTATTAAAGCTAGGCCTATGATAAGAATAAGATAAAATAAAAAAAAACAAAAACAAACAATTGGTTAACTTATTTATTTAATTTTTTTTTTCACTAACAGTTCATAGTTATGAAAAATCAAAATCAATGAACTGACGCCAAAGTCTGGACTTCTCAAATAAGTGTGAAAAAACTGTGGATTCACTAAATTCACTTAATCCAACCTCACATCGAGCCCCTTAAAAAAATGTTCAAAATTTTTTCACACCTTTTGCTCACGTTTTGTAAGTGGGGTTAATCCCCACCAGTTGACGAAGCGTTTTGGAGACAATTTTTTTTTTATTGCTGGCTGGTTGGTTTTGAGCCGTCCATATCAAAGATAAATTTGCTCCATTTGAACCCTATCTCTTTCCTCATCGCTGCTTTTTTTGCAAAAATTATTGAAATTATGCTATCGTTTTTTTTTCTTGTCTGAAAACTCACCGCTGACCAAAAGACCTCCCCTCCTGCAGCTACGCCACTGCTTCTTAATAATAACATAAAAAATTGTTTTCATCAAGTTTGAGGCCTAATTTTCATCAGGGTATGCTCTTTTTTTAGCGAATTAGTGGAGATACCTACTTTTGTTACCAGGTGAATCCCGCACAGGCATTTCACAAAAATCAATTTAACCAAGGAAAGCAATTTATTTAACTGGTTTGGTAATAATACAGTGAATTTATAGTTTTGATGACATTGATATTGGTGGAGTGATTTCAGCTTCTCATCATTAGATTTGAAAACACCAAGAAGAAATCTTAGATACCGCGTTAAATAATTTTCAGTGCGTTTCTTTCTTTGAAAAAAAACCAAAAAAAAAAAAAACCCCAAAAAACCCGGGTGACTGCACTGAAACACGCCCTATTAAATATGATGTAATAAAATGAAATACCACCTTTCCGCCTCCATTACCACCCACTTTTTCCTAATCATCCACCTACGAAACCCCCTTTTCCCCACCGCTCCTCTGGATCTTTCCACCGCCCCCAGAGAATTGGTATCGCCTACTTTCGAAAATCAACTTTTTAAAATGTCTACACGTGTGCATTTGTTGTAATACATTTTTCATAAAATAAAAAAAATATATTAATTATAATGTAAGAAATTTTTTTTTAAATGATTTATATTTTTTTAACCTGTTTGGCCACTTTCCGTATGGCTGTAGAGTGATTGATTCTCGCTTCTCAGATATGTCTTCATGATCAGTCCGTGTTAAGGAATTATACTCAAATAAATTAGTACTCGATTTAAATTATAAAAACAAACGTGTCATATTCGAACACGGCTTCTTGATTTTTAAAATCATGCCAACAAATTACATTACAAATCCGGAAGTTGTTTCAGCTGCAAACAAAAGACTTAGTTTAAAAAAATACCGCTTTCTTTTTTGAGTTATTTTTAGAAAAGGAAAACACAGTATTCGGTGAACTATATATTCAAATTCAACAAAAGGAAAACTTCAGATATATTTTGATGCTGTTAGCAGTTAGCTCAAGTAAGTCCACTTATTTATTTATTTACTTAATTTAGATTGGTGGTAGAAATAAGTAAACGTTAATATTGTGGTCGGGATGCTTTTTTAAAAAATTTTGGCGCTTCGGCATTCAGTTTTTCGGTTTTTTTTGCTCGTTTTGGCAAATCGGGTATAATTTTTTTTTTCTTTCAAATTTTTTTTTTTTTCTTTGATGCAAATGAATTCTAAATGGTAACTACATTAACTTTAAAACTTAAATAAGAATAAAATCGATACCTTTTTAATTTTTTTAAAATGTTACTTTTTGAAACTTTTTTTTACCAAAAAACATTAACCGTAACGCTATATACACCGATACCAAAAACGAACAAAAACATTTATTGCATAACGAACGGTGAATTTGAAATAAATGGAGAGAGAAATGTAAAAAAAAAAATGTAAAAAAAATAATATTTTTGTCCAGTATAGAAAACGGAAATATTTGGGATTGAAACATTTTTTTGCATTCATTTTTGTCTTTCTTATTGAGAAAAAGTGTGTGCAGTTGGTTCGTTAGTGTAATCACGTTATCAGCGTGGCATATGGAATCGACGGGCGGAGTTCATATTTTTTTTTACGCTAGTCAGTTACGTTCACTTTTATTGCACGATTACCTCGAGGAAAGGCCTTAATGCGTCTCTCCTCTACCCTCTAAGGCCGAGTGGTTTATCTAGCCCTGGGTGGCAAACATTCTAACAGAATAAAAAAAGAAAGAAACATACGAAACAAAAAAATCTGAATTCCAGAGCGTGAAAAAGGCAACTAGAAATCCCTCCCCTATCTTTCCCAAAAAGTCATGGACATTCATAGAAAAAAATAAAAGGAAGCTGAGTTGTGATCGCCTACGTCGTGAAGAAACGCAGTATAAAACAAAAATGAGGAATCGACAGAAAATTATCGAACACCTCATACCCTCATTAATCTTTGATAATTCAATTAATTTGATAACATTTATACAAATTGCATTTGTAGTTTATTTTATTTATTTAAACGCTTTTTTTGTTAAAAAATACTTTAATGTAGGTCTCTGCAAAGATTCGCATACCATCATGAAAAAATGCCTCAAACTTAAAACAAAACATGATTATAATATCGTCAAAATCTTTTATTATTAAGAAGGAAGACTAAAGGATGTTGTTTTTAATATTATTAATTATATCTTTTTTTTTAATTCTTTTTAGAACCTTTATAATTGTGGTTAAAATTATTTTTCTTGTGTCAGCGGTTGACCATACATTAGTATAAAGAATTTTAGCTTTTTGCGATGAAAAACACATTGACTTAAAAATTCTTGCAAAAATCAAATAATTGTCGGATTTTAATGAAACTTCCAGAACTTATTCACAAATGAATTAAATTATTTTAGAAAAGTTTCTTTTTTAGAAAATCTTGCTAAAAATATTTACATCCGTTACGCCCATGGCGATCCTTAGTTATTGATCACCATGGTTACGCCCCATTTATTTAATTTTATGACATTTCGAGAAGTTTATTTTTGTCGTATAAAAGCGCAGATCCTGGGAGAATTTAAATCGTCAATTTTTTTTTTTGTAAAAGACGTCTCCAGTTATAAAGTGCTATAAAACTAAGATATTTTATTTAATTAGAAAATTTAATTGCTTTTATAAATAACATATTATGAACATATCGTCTTTTAAGAAACAAAACTTTTTCGATAAAAATGAATTTTTATAAGAATTGTTTTCATTTTGCAAAAATTTTAATTCGAATAATTTATAGTTTTAAATCTTAAAATTCTACATTAACTTGTAGTGGTTAGGTGATATTATTAAGTAAAAACAATTTACTAATCTTAAATGGAAATTTACTACAATTCTGTGTACGCCAATATTTTAAAAAGTATTTTGATTATTTTTTGTTTGTATAAACCTACCGATTCATATACGATATTATCAAAAATAAAAGCAGTAACTACAGTACATTTAGAGTTAAGGTAACTACAATAAATATAACACTGCATTACTTAGAATATTACTGAGTAGTTAAGAAATATATATAAAAAGGCGCTGACGTTATATTCGTTAAGTTATTTTTAAAGACATGTTCCCCTGTAGAAAAAATTCCAAACGTAAGTATATCGAGAGAGTTGTCAACCGCTCAAAAAAACATCCATCTCCGTATTAAAAAAATTGTATTTCTTCGATATTTTAATCTTAAAGTATATAATATTTGTTTTAAATCAAACTAATTATATTTTAAATCCGCTAATATTCCTCAAATAAAGTTTCAGAAAAGTATTTTATTTCAAACAAATTTTTTACTAAAGAATATTTAATATATAATATATATATAATATAATACATAATATATATATATAATATATATATAATATATATATATATAATACATAATATATATATAATATAATATATATATAATATAATACATAATATAATATATATATAATATAATACATAATATATATATAATATAATATATATATATATATATATATATAATATAATACATAATATATATATAATATAATATATATATAATATAATACATAATATATATATATAATATAATATATATATAATATAATACATAATATATATATATAATATAATATATATATAATATAATACATAATATATATATAATATAATATATATATATAATATAATATAATATATATTTATATATTTGCTGTTATCATTTTAAAGAGAAAAAAATCAAATCAGAATAACTGAGTTCTACTAAATAACAAGATGCTATCCCTCGACATGAGCAAGAGAACAATATATCCCCGTAAATTAAATAAATGTTTCAGTTGGACATTCAACTAAGTGAACCGGATCGACAGACACTTAAAGAAGTCCGGAGTGGGGGTCCCAAATGTTTTCAAAGATGAATATCTGTTTATAAGTTTCAAGTATTCATTGCAATAGGTATATAAGTTCACGGAGTATCGCTAATGTGCTGTCTTCAATTCAAAGAAATTATACGTTAAACTTAATAAATGAAGATATTTTAAATTTTATACGGAATCATTTTTATACGCTAAGCAATGAGTACCTGGCTACTTAGGAATACACCACGCTGATAAAATATAGTTATGGAGCTTTTTAGACTATTCGAGGGCGAGCTGTCAGTATTACTATGAAGACAAAAACCATGATTAGAATTTGTCATTTACTTTTTGCAGGTTAAGTGAAGAAATGCACGAATCTGAATCTTTTATTTACAGTCAGGATGATATACTTGGCCATGGTGCGACTTCTAACGTTTATAAAGGTATATCGAAGGTAAGTAAAACAATTGTTTGTGATATTTTCATATGAATTATGGTGCGTTGATAGAACGTTAGCATTCTAAACATTAGACTCTAGTTCGAATTTTAAAATGGTCGATTGTTAAGGAAGGTGACTTCTTGATGGGGAGTCGATCTCAGCGTGCAGCACCGTGCCTGAAAACGGGTTGACTCAAACCTTGTGAGTGAATTTGGTTAGACGGAATTGTTCGTCGATGGTTTTGCTAGCATGAACTCACGAGTCATCGTTACCGAGGTTTTGAGCATACTGTCCTCGTTCAAACTGTTGATCACGCCAGATTATGCGTTCTCTCCCAGAAACTGTAACTAAAGTCTGCCCGGCATAGTTGCAGTATAAACTACAGGTGGCTCTGAACAAATACAAAAACTACAACTATGCCTGAGCAGGCGTCTGCAACAGGGATTGGCTAGTCGGCCTACTAGATGTGTGTTCTCGGAAATGAGTAGCCTAGTACATAGTTAAAAATAAATTGTAGAGAGAGAGAGAGAGAGAGAGAGAGAGAGAGAGAGCATAGGGCGGGCAAAAAGGTCGAAGCCGGTAATCATCAGATTAACTTACGCAACATATATACTCATATATAAGCCAACTTCATGTATAGCGTGACCCCTGATTTTTTTCCCATGAATTTTAAGTTAACCCTTCAGAAAAAATAACCTGTGTATAGTGCAACTGATCACCGAAAACACCTGACTTTTTAACCGCTTCAAAAAATGAGCTGTGTATAATGCGACTGATCATAAAAATTCGCGCTAAATTCGAGTATATGCGCTATGTTGAGTTAATAAGTCTTAATTTCTGTTGGTAAATCTATATAATAATGTCACACTTTTTCAACTTTACTCCTACAGGCCGTAGCCCAACATATAATACCATTTTGGAATCAGGTCGACTCCGTGAGCAAATTAAAATCTTTCCGGGCGGATCCGGACCCGCAATCCTAAAATTTTAGTTTCCCAAATTTTCATCACTGCGATTTTTTTTTTTACGTCAATTTTTTTTTTTTTTTTTTTTTGCGACGAATTTTAACAATTTTTATAACTTGAAAATAATTGAAATTAATTGCGAAATTCAGCGTAAGTCACCCATGAAATAAAAATAATTGTTTGTACGTAAAGTAAGGACCTACGTACATCAAACTGTCTTTAAATTAAGTGGTGGCAAAAGAATTATCGTTGAATCTTTTAAACGGTAAGCTTAAATATAAATGCAATATAATGCACTACAATATTAATGCAGAAATCAATTTTGAGTTCTTCTTTAGTTTATTGTTGGCTATCGTATTTTCTCCTCTCTACCTATTGTGATGAAGGCCCAATCAAGATCCTTCCACAGGAGCTAGCTTAAATGACGCGCAGTAGGACGGCTTTTAAGCTGGTCTATAATATAAAAGAGCTGATTCTCTGTCACATACTGCGTATAACTTTTCGAGCGTATATGTAATGTATATGCGTACAGTGTTGTGCAGGGGTCACTTACAGGAGCTTATGCCAGTTAATGCATGCACGCACACACGCACACACTATGACTCAGTTTTAAATAGTGCGTGGCTATTTTACCGGTCCCGGTAAAATTGATAAACACGCTTTGAAACTTATTTTACCGGTCTCGATAAAATAAACTGCCAGGCTATTTTGCAGTTAAGTATTTTATTATAAAGGCAAGTAATGTTAAAAATAACAACACACAGATTAAACACAGAAGTTCATTTCTTTTCACCATCAATTGTTTAAGACAATCTAAAATACTTTCCATCATCAATTGTTAAAATACAAGTTAAGATCATTTATTCATAAAATTCATTAAAGAAATATAGAAATCTCTGAATATTTTTAAGCACTTCAGGCATAACAGTCTCTACAAATCTCAAACTTGGCCTTGGGGCATGATTCTCTTGCCAATACACTTCAGGTGCACCCACTGAAGACAACAACACAAAGTCTATGTTGTTCAAGTCCTGCCTAGACAGCTCATACAACCACTACGATGATGATCTCAAATATAATATATTTTTAGTTCTAAAACATTATTTATATTTACCGGCAAAATAGCCTTGGTGTCTATTTTACCGGGACCGGCAAAATAACCTATTCGTTTTAAACTCACGGGATAACCCTACCCTGGGCTAAGTAAGGAAATCAAGGTTGGAGTCCCTCCACTAAAAACAAAACTTTAATAAAAAAAAACAAAAAACAAAAAAAACCGTAACTCTAAGATTTTATTGAGCTTTTCGGAAATTTGATAAATTAAATTAATTAAAAAAAATTTTGTATGTCAGAATTAAATATACATGCACACACGCAAACGTACATAAAACATATAATTTGAATAAAATTTAAATGGGCATGTCTGCTCGCTAACAGTCCTTGGCTAATAGGAAAAGAGTATAAGCTGAAATATTCGGCCCCTTGAAGTCACACACACAAATATGAACTTACTTTATTTCAATGTTTCTACTCAACTATTTGGGCAGCTTATTTCTTATTTAGGGTGAAACCTGTGCCTGTTTTTTTTTTTTTTTTTTTTTGCAATTTCTTCAATGTTTGGTCGAATGTGCAATAAGCAGACCTTCATTTCTTCTTTATTTGAGCGTAGACTTTTTTGTTTCTTATTTTTGATGTTATTTAGGGTTGAGAATCCTAATTTACATAAGTAGAAAACTGATAAAGCCTTTTTAGCTAATGTGGGATATTCCTTTTGTATCCAAAATGTATCAATGGGTGCCATCAAATATTTTATTTTGTGTCCTTGATCACTAGAAATTCTTCTTTTTCACATAACTGAAGTCTAATATTATCATTACTAATTCAATACACACATATATATACATATGTATGCTATGACAATACTTCTTCAATGTTTGGTCGAATGTGAGATAAGCAGACCCTCATTTCTTTAGTTGAGCGTAGTCTTTCTCGCTTCTTATTTTTTGTTATTTAGGGTTGGGAAGCCCAATTCACATAAATAGAAAAATTGCATTTAAAACTGATAAAACCTTTTTAGCTAATGTGGGATAATTCCCTTTGCATTGAAAACAAAAATGTATCAATGGGTACCGTCGGATGTTTTATTTTGATCCCTCGATCAACCCAAATGGTGGTCAATTCTTCAAATAACTGAAGTCCAATTATTAGAAGGAACATTTATGAAGTAATTTCGGAACTAATCCTACTTTTCTGTGCTCAATGATGGAAAATAATAGTCAATGTTTTCGCCGAGCGCTTTCAAAAAAAGTTAATATTCACTTATTCAAATAAAGGAAAATTTTAAAAAGTTAAATTAAAAAAAATAAAATTACTTTTAAAAAAGTGAATATTAAAGCAAAGTATTTAAAATAACATAATCGAAGAAGTAGAATGGATTATAGAACAGGGATTGGGAGAAATGGTAAGGAGACAAATAATGCGTACAGCGACAAAGGATTGGATGTTGTGGAGGGCCATGATTGCCCACATCCTGAAATGACTCGGCAAAAACATGTATTTAAATAATATACGTTAAAACATAGATAAACAAATACCTACTACCGATGTATGTACTTGTGTATGTTTGTGTGTCTCTAAATAAGGTCATTATAATCACAAGGCAGTTTTATTCTTTCTTTCTTTCGTGTATTTTTTTTTATTAGATTTCTTTGGGTTTTCCATCTTTCATTTTAAAAATGTTTTTCACATCCCCCTAACAATAATTAAAAGCATTTTTCGTATGGCTGGAAATTCCTGCTGTAAAACTGATACTTGGAAAAAACCACTACGTTTTTTCTAAGTAATCATTTTTTACAATGACTATGCACGCATGTGACTTATCTTCGTAATCAAACATAATCGATTTTAACGGTGGTATTGACTAAAAAGTAAAACGAAAAAGTAGAACATTTACATATGTAGGTCACATACACATGAATGGATTCTTAGATATGCGTCAACATATACAAGTTAATTTTTTTTCACAGAAATGTTATTAATAAACCGCAGTATATTGACTTGCCGCTCGTATCCGAGTATCGGCCGTGTTACGCCACTCCCTATTGCAAGCGCCTGCCATACTGTAACTATACCGAGTGGGCTTTAGCTATAGTTTCTGGCGCGATCGAGTTTGAACAAGGCTAGTACACTCAAACCAACGGTCATGATGACTTGTGACTTCGTGCTAACGTTTAATTCACTCACAAAGCTTCGGATTGGGATCACCTCCGATAAATTCAAGACAGATCGAACGCAGGTCTCGTGGTCAGAAAGCGAACGTTCTAACGGCTCGGCCATGAACCTATACGATAAATATACCCTGTAAATTTCAGCTTATAATATTCATATAACAGGGATATTCTAAACTTGGAGCGTACTATAATAAATGACCCTTAGGCAGTGTGAAATTGAATCAGAAAGAATTTGTTTATTTACAATAATTTATCTGAAAAGAAAGGTTTAAAGGCTCTATGAGGATTATTAAAAATAGGCAGAAAAAATGTTTATGTGAAAGTGGGGGACATACATTAGCTGATAAAATTAAACGTTCTTCATAGAGGGACACAGAAAAAGTTCAAGAAGTGTTGTTAATGTTTTGATCGATAGATCAAAAACCTGTTGTTGAATGAGGGGGTATCGTGGCAGGTTTATTAATAACATATCTGCGAAAAAAAAGTTGAAGCTGTCAAAACTGTAGAATTCTAAGGGATCTGGTTCTTTTGTATCATCGAAGGAAACTTGTTTCACATGTCCAAAATTGTTTGCATTAAGTTTCGTATTCAGAGTCAATAAACCAAGAAATTCTAAATTCTCTCCAAGCGCCATGCTTTCCGAATCTTCTGCAATTTCCTCAGATTGACACCTAAACACTCTGAAATATTTGTATTGGACCTTCTGGCGCGAAGGCCAAGCAGTAGAGCAGTTGAACAAACTAAAAATATCAAGTTAATTATCTATTATAAAAATCCAAAGCAGTCAAGCTTATCAGCAACAACATTCCGCTGGCGAAGTCAAAACTATACAAGACCGACATTATTTATGAATTCAAATGCCACATTCTTACGACGAAAACAAATTCATAGATAATTATGTCGGTCATATCATCACTCGCTTATCAAGAGAACTTTACATCTTTCAGATTTAAACTAACATGGAAATATATAAACCTCGATACGCAACATATTTGCCGAAAACATAAATATAATACGCCTTTCCCACTACAAAAAGTGTCTAAAAATAACGAAAGCCGTTATTATAAAAGAATAACCCTTAATAAAACCATCTATGGACACAGCCACAATGTGCTGGCCGTGTTCGAGAATTAATGTCTACCTTTCAGCAACTTTTAAACTTTTCCCATTAAGGCACAAGAAGTCATTACCTCAAAGCAAAGCTCAATGCAAAGCTTACTTAAGAAATGCACATCTCTCGTTAGGATATTTTGAAGTCTATATCTATTAAATTTATTTTCGTACCCGAAACGTAAACAACGTAATTTCTAAGTAATTAATGGATTTTATTTACATTATTTCTTAGAACTACAAATTTTATATTTAGTGGGCGCATGAATTTGTGCAAACACCCCAATTTTTTAAACGGTGAAAATGTCAGCCAGCCTAGAAATCGAAAGTCTAAATAAAAAACTGTGCCCCCGATAGAAATCGAATCTATATTCGATTTTTAAAAATGGAAACCGCTTTCAAATCTCGTCAAGTAATTGAGATTTGTTTTGTTGTAGTGACTTTTGTTCTACAGGTTGCTATCGCTTGTATGATGTGTGTCCAACAACACCGAATTTGAGCCGAAGGCGAAAGGACTTTAGTTCGAGGTGTCTTCATTATGAAATTACCATTTCATGAGATGAATCTGTTTGAATTCTTATAAGAATATATGATAGAAAATGAAACAAGAAAAATTATGGATCGATTCGAAATCCGGCTTAAAATCGGAATCTGTGCCGTCATGCGAAAATAAATTCGTGTTTCTATCAACAGAAATATTAAATCGCTTCAAGTAGACGAAACAGAAAATTACTGTAGCGGTATGGACGTTGAATACTACAAATAATTATTTTGAAAGAAGAAGCCACGTTGTAAGTTAAATCTAGAGGATTTCAAATCGTAATCGACATTAGCATGTTCAAATAAACATTTCTGAATAAAAATCGATCGATGACGAAAATACAGATGTATATAGCGTGCTCATATATTACATCATGTTCCATTCATATAAAATATTTTTTAAATGGATAAGCTTTAAAATTATTGGTTAGCATGCATCTTTGTCTTGACACTATTTTCCGTACGATTCTAAATCCAATATTTCTAAATTGTTGTTTCAGGGTGTGAAGTTTGGGTGCAATATTAGAGAGTAGGATTTTTTGACCGTTTGCTTATAGAATTTGGCTCTATCCTCTCAGTAATTTGTCTTTTAATATTTTTTAAATTTCCAATCGACATTAAATTTGTTTTTTTCCCTTTGATGAATTTTTTAAATCATATTTTTTTATATAAATGTCACCAACCCTATGACCACTAGTCAGTCTAAACAAATGCAGTTCAAACGCAGACTTTAAAAATAGAAAATTAATAGGGATCTTTTGTACAGTATAATTTCGTTGTTCGAAAATACGGAGGTGATAGTTTCCATTTTTTTCTTTTTCTGTAGAAAGATGGCTCATTTTGTGCTCTGAAAGTGTTCAAAAATAAACGCGATTCAACATGGAAAATTCTCAAACGAGAACTGGACATATTAACGAAAATCAAACATGAAAACATTGTGCGGATTTTTGGTATGGAAATAGATGTAAGTAAAGTTTTTCTCCTAATTTAAAAAATTTTCTGCGTTTACGCATGCGTATATAAGTTGGCGCTAATCTAAAATCCATTGAGTCCATAGATTTTTAATTTTAATTTACCTGATGGGTTTACGTAAGTGATGGTGTTCTAGGCAAAGAAAAAAAAATTATATAATTTAATTATAATTCTTACTTTTATTCTGTTACTCAATTTTGTGCCTCAGTTACGCGTCCAGTTGCTTCATCGTCGTAACAAAAGTTTATTATTTGTCTATGTTGATTAGCGTTGTATTCGTCAAGTATGACACAGGAATAATTCTGTCATTGTTTTTTCAAGAGTTTAACGCGTGATTAATATTAACAGAAAGAAAACAAGAAAAAGCGTCATCAGTAATTATAGGAATGATATTAGCAGCACGTGTGAATGAAGCTTTTTCTTGTTTTCTTTCTGTTAAAATTAACCACACGTTAAACTCTTGAAAATTGCATATATATATATATATATATATATATATATATATATATATATATATATATATATATTCATGCATATAATCACATGTACGCAGTTTTATGGCTTTCTCGATTCAGTCTTTTTCTTGCAGCTTTTCTTTTCGACAGTATTTCTCTCACATATAAATATGTAATATAATCTAACATCGGACCCGTAACCTATCATAGTAGTAGTGAGTGTGTCTAGGGTACAATAGCCCGACGGAGCCCAGTTCTCTTCTAGACTGGTTGTCATTCAAGGAATCCAGTCTGCCTTACTAATTAATTCATAGCTAGTGGTGGGGAAAAGAGGCAAATTCATGCCTTTCCCAAGTGTAATTGTGCAAAAATGAACGCAGCAGATCGGAATTTGAACTCGGTTCACCGATTTCAATTCTGGCGTCGATATTCGTGCCACAACCAGCACATCCTAAGAAGCATAATCTATATTACATTATATTTAAAAAATACTATAGAATGTACAATATGTAGTTTCTGAAGATATTTTTACACACACACACACACACACACACACACACACACACACACACACACACACACACACACACACACACACACACTTCTATATGTGTAAGTAACGAAACTCTGCCTATATATATATATTTGAAAGAGATCGAAAGAGGTGGAAATCCGTTGTTGCTAAATCGGGAGAATACGGCGGGTGTGGCAGCACTTCCCAGCCACGGGTTTGAATGGCTTCCTTGGTCATATTCGTGATATGAGGGCGGGCGTTGTCGTGCAGCAAAAGAACTCCATGCTGTCGATTAGGTCTTTTCTCTTGAATAGACGTGTTGAGTAGTTTCATCTGTTGAACATAGAGTTCCGCACTGACCGTTTGGTTCCATTTAAGCAATTCGTAATCGATAATCCCCTCCCAGTCCCAACATACGCACAACATCGTTTTACGCGGATGAAGATCTTGTTTCACGCGCGGTGTTTGCGGGACTAAGTCATTACTTGCACTGCTTCATATTGATGTACAGTCACCATTTTTCGTCGCCAGTAACGATTCGGTAATGAAATCGTTGCTTGTGTCCATGACGAGCAAGCAAACCAGCGGAGATTGTGGCTCGTTGATTTTTGTTGTTGTCATTTAAAGCATGCGGGACACATGCTCCACACTTCTGAACCTTTTCCATCGAGTGAAGATGCTTCTCTGTGTGTGTATGTATGTATATATATATATATAAGTTGGCCCCGCGCGATCTGTGGCTTTACTTTTGACGATAGGTTGTCCAATGTTGGTCTTAACATTGGTGCAATTGAGACTTTTCTGGTGAAGTCATAACTTCACTGGGCTTGTCTTGTTGCAAGGATGAGTGATGAGAGAATACACAAGGAACTCGTGTATAGCCAGTTTGACAAGGGACGTGTCTCGGGTATAAAGTTGAGCTAAAGAGTAACCTCTCAGCTGTCAATGTGCCTCATACTAACTTCGAGCTAGTTGCCCTGGATAGAAATAACTGGAGATATTTGTACCAGATTGGTATCAGAAATTTCGAAATCAGTCGTATTGAATTGACCGGCTAAGAGACAAAATGCGTCAGCAAATATTCCTGTGGCTATACCCCAAGATCCTCGTTGTTGCACAGTGAACTTGTATACAGGTCACTAGCCGGACTGAATGGTTACATACAGCGCAAACATAAAACTTTCGGATCCTCATACGTCGAAATCGACGGGAGAATCCATCATACACACACATGCATATATATAATATATATATATATATATATAACATTGCCAATCCTACATTATTAAGTTGATCTGTTTGCGTATCAGTTTCCGTGTGTAAGTGTTGGTGTCAAATTGACTGTTCAGAATAAAAATTAATTATTTCCTTGTTTAACTTCTGTTCCCATGTGATTACTCTTGAATAAATAGAATATTTTTGAGCTGATGACTTTGCTGCGATCATTAGCACGAAGTCATAAGGACATTTGTAAACTTCAACTTGATATTTTTACGATGGTTCCAATTTTGACATTAAATAATACTTGTGATTATGTGACCCAACAGGACCCAGCCATCATTAGAACACACACACTAAACCAAGCGGGCTCTAAATGATTTTATCTGAGCCTGAAGTGTCTAGTGCTTTTAAGATCTTAGTAAAGCTTAAAAGATAGATAATCAAACTGGTCGCCTACCAACTAAAAGTAATTAGAGAAGATAAACAAGTGAAAACTTTAGGGGACAAACGCTACTTGGCCGGATGTTAGAAAGTTTCATTTGTGGGCTTATACGAGAGTGAGAGTGTGTGTATGGATCGCCCGTTAGATGGTAGTTTGGAGTCGCGCATTGTGATATAGAGATGGGCGGTATGAGAGAGTCAAACTTCGCTGGCTAGCGAAGAGAAGAGCCGATCTGTTAGTCCGTCATGACAGAAGTAGCAGAAACTGCCCCAATTAACACCTATCTATTTTTTTGGTCGTGCAAGTAAATTGTTGAATAAACAACCAAAACATATGGGAAACAGGATTGACTTTTTCATTTCCCACCGTAGTGTTAATTTCTCCTTTCGTTTCTTTTTAAACGTGCAACGGGCATTTCCCAGTTTTATGTGGACGAGAATCTAGACATAACGTGGAGTGATTATTTTTTTTTTCAGTCAGTGACAAACCGAGAGAGGGACCTGTTGTGTGTTTGTGTGTGTGTATATTATTGAAATGTTCTACTTTTTTAAAATGTAGTTCGTTAATGAATCGCATTCTAGGGAAGAGTTTTGAAGGTCATCTTGATACTGCTGATGAAAGAGAATGTATTTTTCCATTTTTTATATTTCTTTAAATATGCTCGACACGTGTTTAGTTTTAAATGTTTTACAAGTTCTACGTTTCGAATAACTGAAAAATTTTCACAAAGTATATTCATTTGCAGTAGTATCAACATAAGTAAATTACCATATGGTCGTAACAGTAAACAATGACCTTCCCTTTTATGGAGAATGGATAGTGAATTCTGAGAAATAGATATTCGGTGACCGGACAGATGTTCATTAAAATTTGCTTCTAACCAGACAGAAATTCTGTTATAACGATTTTAATTTTTCTAGGGTTGCACAGGTCAACCGATCATCATAATGGAATTTTTGAATCGGGGTACACTCTATGATCAGCTGCGCGAGCCTGAAAATCTCTATGGATTTTGTGACCAGATGTTTCTGTCTCTGTTGAAAGATCTAGGTAAGACCTTGACGCCTTAACTACTCATAAATTAATCGATTACGAAAAGGTAGTCTCAGTAACATAAAATGAATTTTTAAGGAAATCTATGACAAAGTGGAAAATATTTTGCGTGATGTTTCTTCTTTTAGGAGCTCATCGGATTTATTAAACATTTTTTCTAATTTGTCATAGGTTTTCCTAAAATTGGTTTATATATATATATATATATATATATATATATATATATATATATATATATATATATATATATATTTTTATATATTGTTTTCCCATAAAATTAACACCGTAATTGCGGCGATCGCGTGTGCATGACAGAATCGACACATCTTCTGAAAGTTTAATTCTTTGAAAATGTGCCTTCAGTACATAAAAAAATCACGGCTCTCCACAGCCACCTTCCTTATTTTTTAATATTTGTGAATTGGAATGCTTTCTTGTGAAATATAGTGAAGTGATTTCCTGTTACCTTCCCAAAGGTTTTGAATTCAGAGTTTTCCTCCTCTTGGACTGGTTGCCGCCCAGTCCAGGCTATTCTGTTATTTAACCCATAGCTGGGAGCAATAGCGATAGATTCCCAAGTATATTTGTGTGAAAGTGAACGCTACAGACTAGACTTGAATTTGAACTCTGCTCGCCAGTTCCCTTTTCTGCGTTGTTGATAACCGTTATACTACACGCATTTCTCAAACTGCATGAACCGACAAAAATTTTATGGATGGTCATTGCAGTGGCCAATGAGTAAATTGGAGAAATTGAACCGTTCCTTTTATTTAAAAATAAACAAAAAATCCCGTTACTAAATCCCGAATGCTTAAATTTTATAATCTATTAAAACGATAGAAGGTTTAAAAAGTACATATTTGAAAATAATTTTAGATTAATCTATAACTTCACACGGCCACACACATTCTTTCTTGTTTTTTTTATGACTAATTATTGCTTACTTTTGAAATAGTTGCAAAGTTCACACGTCTTCTTGTATCACGAATATTTTTTCTTTTTAGAGGTTAAAAAAAAAAATAAAAAAACAAAAACGAAAAGAAACAACCATCTGCCTCTTGATGCAAGAATTAGGGCAGCGATCTCTGAGAATCTATTCTAATATATTTTTAAAACACTGACCCACAATGTACAGTATTAGTAACCATTGTTCTTTATTTTTGTATTTAAGCGGCCGGTTTAACACAATTGCAAATTGCTGGAATTGTGCATCGAGACATCAAACCAACTAATATTCTTCGAAGTATTGTGTCCGAAGGAAGGTATGTTGACATGAGATTTTTTTCTTTATTTGTATTATCATCATTCTCACTCCCATGACCGGGTGTTGTCGTAGGGTCACTGCGCATCTGAGCACTTGCCCAGTTTGCTCCACATATCTGGGTGGAAACCGGAGAGGTATTCACTTCTTTTGTGTTAAGTAGATCTGGCTCCAGATCAAACGATAGCCGATGACTTCATTTGGAAGGCAGGCCTTAGTCACAAACACGTGGTCAATGATTACATCGGGGTAATCCCCTGCCTTGGTCGTCGACTTCAGTCTAGGAAGGCCTAGGTCAATCAAATACGACATTTGTTATAAACAGGCCTATTTTAGCAAATACTATTCAATTTATATGTTTATTGATTATATATGTTTGTGTAGGCACGGTGGAATAATAGCGGCTCGGATTGAGGAAAATACGAGAAATATCATTTTACTTTATTTTCTTATATTTCGACCTTTTTTTTTAAAGAAAAAAGAAAGAAAGCAAAACAATCGCTAATACATTTCTAAGGTCATATATACACAATTTAACTCACACAAATTCCGCAAACACACAAAGAAAGAAAGACAATCTCTCGTACTTGATATCATACTTCTGATTATTATTTTTTTTTGTTTTGCAGGGAAATATACAAACTCTCAGATTTTGGTACTGCCAAAGCGATTTCAGGTGAGGATGAAATGGAATCCATAGTAGGAACTGAAGAATATGTGGTAAGAATTTGATTTTGGAGGGAATTTTTTTTTATTGCAACAATTTTTTTAATAATCTGTTTCACTCCATGCAAGACATTAAAGCCACTAAGACACAAGGGGTTACAGGGTATGGAAGAAGTAGGAGCAGAAACATTAATAATGAACGTGAGGAAAAAAGAGTAATCAGGAAGACAGTAGATAGCGATTGACATTGAATTAAGATTTTTGAAGATTAAAGTTAGCTGGAAAGCATGGAGTTAGAAGGGATTTCCTCAAGCGAGAAGTGGTAGAAAAGAAACTGTTACGGCTACATCTAGTTAGCTCAACAGTAAATTAATGAGATCTCAACGCCAGTCTGTTATTGCGCTTAAATTAAAAAAGGTTAGGTATCATAGAGCTCTTTTCATTCTTACCTTATTAACATCTTTTCTCCGTCTTTATTATTCCTATTAGTCTTCAAGACATCATTCTCGGCTGATAAACGCTTTGATTGTTCGAGCAAACAGCATGAACTTGAAAATATACAGATAGCTCCCGGCCGATTCTTCATCTTTGATTTCCTTCTCTTTGCTCTAGCGGTCGAAGAGTGTTGTAATCTTATTTTATGTGCCGTGTCCCTTCAGAACGTGTGCATCATGGATCTCCATAGCTTCTTGTCTCTAAGCGACGTTTGGCTGTTTATCACTCCTCTTTGTCACCTCTGTGCTAGCCATTTACGTAAATTCGTTAGGGAGCTTACTCACTTTTTTCCTCTGGCCCTTCTTCCTTCATTATGCCCTGAGAGTGTTACATTTTCTAAGCCATCTTTCTTTATGTCTCAAAAATTTTAACTGCCTCTTTCTGATTTTAAAGAGAAATTAATCAGATGAATAAAGATTATAAAATAACCATTATAGGTTATGAGGTTGTACAGAAAAGAATGTTATATTTGTGGGGTGGGTGGGAGCAGAATGAAATCTCGTTTAAATGTACAAAAAACAAAACAATTATTTATTCGTCAAAAACATAATCATTGTCATTTATTTTATTTTATTTTTATTAAAGTTCACTCAATATAAAGCTCAAGGCCCCTTCATGGTAAAGGGTTACTGAATCAGTTGTGTGTAATATAAATGTACGAGGAGGTAAAAGGAAGTGAAAATTACAAGAATAAGGAAGATAGCTACTGATTTTTGACTTGAAGTGGTTAAGATTGTAGTGTTAAGGGAAGACTCGGGGGGGGGCTGCGCATCTGAACACTTCTTATGGAAACAGCGATAGATTTGTAAATTTGTGGCTGTGAGGGAAGAGTCTATCAAGTGGAAAATAAGTCATCCTCTATAAGAACTCTCTCAAGGCTGAAAAGTGATGATTGTGTAGTTACAGTCCAGGCATTGTAGCCATACTCCATTTTGTTTCTAATATGACTCATAAAGCAACTTGTCGCTGAAAAAATTGTAGAAGTTTGAAAGAAAATCTATTTTTTACCTCTCTACCAAATCGCGATCAAATTCAAGTTTTGGTGAACAATTGACGGAATATATAGTAGGTTTGATTTATTGCAAGCAACATAAGACAATCACAGTAGATATTTTTTTTTTTTTAAATCATTTCACCCCAAGCAAGGTGTGAATGCCACTAGTACACAGTGTAGAGAGTGAAAGTGAAAGAGAAGACCAAGAACAGGGAGGCTTGAGGACAAAAGATGAACGGGATTCAAGAAGATAGAAGATGGCGACTGACGTTACATATAAGTTTTTGTAGATTGTAGTTATCAGGGAAGCAAGTGAACAGTTCCACAGGTGGGAAGTGCAAGAAAAGAAACTGTTGGAGTAGAAGTGGTGGTTGCATTTAGCTATTTCAACAGTAAGAAGTTGGGACCTAGATGCCAATCTAGTAGCGCGCTTAAATTCATGAAGTCAGGGCATCGGAGAAAAAGCTCGTCAGAGGAGTTGCCATGAAAATATTTATAGAAAAGACAGAGGGACATGACGTCACTGAGAAAGTGACTGAAGTCGAGATGTCTTGTTAGGATCGATTACATTACAGATCCTTCTTTGGATTTTGTCAAGAATCTTAAGAGGAGCACCAGATCAAATATTTGATGCACGGACGAATAGATTTACAATGTCAGCTACCAGCTTTCATAAAAAGTGACTGTGTTCACAAGGATAGTGCAACCCTGCAATTCAGCAAACTCTGAAGAAATTCAAATCGTTAGGTTTGCATACTTAACCGTGGCCTCTTAGATCTAATATTTTTGCTCCTAAAATCTTTTATTTAACCTGATCACTGGTTTACATTCTCAGTACAAACAAGATCAGTCCCACACTATCAATTATTTTCATTCAAATTCTTTGAAGAAAGAATAAAATTATTTTCATATGGACCTTTTGTCATTGCTAATAATCCATGACTATATTTACGGCAAATAAATTTAACTTTTATGTTTTAAACGGATAATATACACTCTCTAAAATCGTGCCATTAATTTCAAACAATAATTACATATCGCCGTATATCGCACTGTGGGAATGCAGAAGGCTATTATCTCCCTTTTGACAGGAGGATTCACTGACGTCTTAAGGGACCCCTGAGGGCCACGCGACAGCCCGTTGGTGAGAATACTCAGTTGCTGCTTAGCTCACAAGGGTGGTGGATGCGGTAACTAGTTGCGGTTCGGTTGACTACGGCGGACAGCACATTTCCCGTGCATCCTAAATGGGGAACTCAGACATATCACCAGGGTTGTACCGTGTCCCTCTTGGGGACATTACAAGTAAGACCTTTTTATTCGTCCCTTTCAGATACTACTTGACTTTATATATATATATATTGATTGATTGATTGATTGATTGTCGACATGGAAAAAATGGATAGACCAAAACACAAATCTTTTACTTTCAATCCATTCTGAAGGATTGTATGAGGATTTGCCTTGGATTCATTTCAGAAAATGCCGTATGAATCTCTGTCTTTCACACCATTCTGAAAAAGAGATGATGATTTGCTTTTAATTCGATACAAAAAGCTGGGAAAATATATTAACACCTTTCGACATGAACTAAGAATTATAAAGAAATGATACAGAATAGATATTGACAGCTTTTTTAAAAATCACTCATTTTCTTTCTTCAGTCACGAGAAACGCCAGCTTAGGGAAAAATTACTATGATTCATTATCTAAGCATACACACAAATACACATACACACGTTTCTTTCTTTCGTTTTTGGATCTGCTGAAGCCTTGAATGGCGAAACGTCTAATCAAATCTATTTTCAGTTAAACATTTTCCATTTCTCAAATTTTTAAAAAACTGTATCCTATTAAAAAAAATATCTTAGTATGACTTATATTTGTGCACTTCAGTGTTGTGTATAAAATGTTTTCATGTCTAACTAATTTTGGGAATTAATTTCTTTGTGTTTTTTTAAGTAATTCTTTCCGTCTTGTTAAGGTTTTTGTATATCACAGATAAACTAATGCTTAATATGGATCTTGGGGAGTGGAGAAAACCAAGATATTTCCGCTCTCTTTCCAAGCATCTCAAAAATTCTTTTTAAATAATAACAGGAGTGTGTTTCTTTTCATGAATTAACAATAGTTATTCATCGTTTTGTTGAAAGAGAATGTACATCCCCAATGTCAATTAAGTACAATTCTCGTTCACTGTTTAATCTTTTAGTGTTCTTCTATACAACGTGAATTACACTAAAATACAAATACTTTGAGGACTCGACGAAAAGTTTTTGACTAACATTTCAAAATCGGTATTTCAAAGACTAAAAACCAGTCGACTGATTTTTGTGAAGTGGATCGAACTGAGAAATCATTAGAATCCAAACCCTACATAGGAATGAACATATAACTCTGCTGATTCCTTGGTTAGTAAGTTAGTTGAGTTGGCACGTGTGTTACGCACTGCCATTACCTCAAATAAATAATGAACCATTCCGTTTTGATTTTGAGGAAAGACGGAAGAAAAAGATATACGAGAGAGAATTTTTGGTTCTAGCGAGTAAAACAAAGCTTGCATAATAATAAGAGAAATCGATCACGCTCTCATGTGTTTAACGTCTGCTTTAGGGAGATAGAAAACATTATCAGTTTTGAAAATTTTAATTTTTACCTTTTTACTTTAAATAATGACCAGCATTCATACTTATGATTGCTGTTGCTATATTTTGTTTTTATTTTTGTTATCAAGTTCTTAAGCTCAAATATTTAACGATGCAAATAGTTTTCCCGGGTATTTCCTGCAAAATATATGTTGATAAAATAATACCTTTTCTTTTCTCTCTTTTTTTTTTTTTAATAATTCACAGCATCCGGCAATGTTTGAAAAGGCTTTTTTAAATAGGGAAGCTGAATTAATATCTTCAATACATCTTGACCAATGGAGTCTGGGTATCACTCTCTATCACGTGGCCACTGGTAAAGTGCCGTTTCAGACCAAAGAAGGACTGCGGAGAAATAGAATGTGTAGGTATGTTTGAACTTTATGTCAAACTTTCATTTGGCAGAAATAGATTAATAGCTGACATTTATTTATATATCGCTTTTTTTTTTTTTTTTTTTTAATTAATATCACCACATGCAAGACAGTAAAGCCGTTAAGACACAAGGGGTAACAGGGTGTGGAAGAATTAGGAACAGAAACATTAATAATGAGCGGGAAGAGTAATCAGGACAGTAGATAGTGATTGACATTGCGTTTAAATTTTTGCAGATTAAAATTGGCTGGAAAGCATAAAGCCGGAATGGAGTTTCACAAGCAAGAAATGGGAGAAATGTTAGCACAGAATTTACGGTTACATATAGCTAGCTTAACTGTAAATTGATGAGATCTATGCGCCAGTCTAGTACTGTGGTTAAATGCAAAAGGTCTAGGTACATAAGCATGAAAAGATATCGTGCAAAATTTATATAATACCAAGAGTAATCAATGAATCATAGATTTCACTGAATGTCTAAAAAAATCATAGAAACTGATTAATTAAACGGTTCCTTAGGCCTTATTTTAGTTGTGAATTCTTTATCTTCGCTTTATTGAATCTAAATACATTGTTTCATTGCATTTCACTATTAAAACATTGTAACAAATTCCAGTCATTTTTAATGGCACAAGTAGACTAATTGAAGATAATTGGTGTTATTTGATCTTGAATGAAAGTCTATGAAGAATACTGGAATGCTCTTTATAATAACTGACATAAAACTCACTTGCATGTATTTAATGTTTTACCTGTTGCAGATTACAGATGATCAAACAGAAGCCATCAGGTGTGATATGTGCCAGAGAGCATGAAGACGGTGGGATCATTTGGGAGAGAGAATTACCTGCAACCTGTATACTATCAAGGTAAGTATAATATGTTACCCACCAATTAATTGTTACAAATGCAAAATTTTTGAGAAAAGGGCCAGTTTCTAAAAATTCTATGAAAAGACAAGATGATACATAGCTAAGAGGCAATACTACCCGTAAACTAAGTACCTGTCTATAAAAATCATTATCAAAAGTTGAATAACATTAGTCTGAAATAAGCTGGAAAATCCTTATTTTATCTCCGTAGATGAGGCTATTATTAAAATTTTTATAAGACGACCTTTAAATCTCAAAAATTAGCCTTAAAAATTGGGGGTCGTTTTACATTACCAGCCTCAGTGCGATAATCAATAACGTACATGAAAAGATTCACGTTATCAAATAAACTGATAATAAAAGTAATAAAACCATTTCTATCTTATATAATACTGGCATAATTTCATAATAAATTGCTTATTCGAAGAATAATTACATATCAATGAAATCAACTTGTATCTATGCAAAGCCAGCTGAGAAAATGTAAACATCGAGTTATGATTGCGTTCACAGCAACCTTTATCTTTCGCTAAACTTTCAATAAACATCATGGTAATGCTAATTACGACAGTAATAACATTTAGGATAGCATGATATTCATTTCTCATTAAAAATTCATTATCATTTTGGGTATATGTTAATAAGAAATTTTAACTGGCTTAGAAGTTAGGAACAGACTGAATAAAAGTGTTGAAAGTGGAATGTACTATTATCTACTAATTGTACTAGCCGTATTTCGTGATTGTCGAAGTATAAGTAAACGGTCATTAGTACACCAGGTGTTTGTAACTGTTTAGATTTAGAAAAAGAGGAAGAAGAATAATCAGTATTCGTAAGAGATCACGTGATTTAAAAAAAAAAGCAATGGTTTCCCTTTTAGGGGACGTGTGTAGGGAAAACTTGATATAGAATCAGTTTTGTTATTTCATTTATTTTGAATTTCTGAAGATACAGTAAGTAACATTTCCAATGACACTATCTTTATATAATCAATAAGCAGTCGTCTTATACTACAGGTATAGGATAAATTCATGAAAATTTGCTGTATTTTTTGACCTCGTCTTATTTAAAGGTCGACTAATACGCGATATATACGGTATATCTTTTAGTCTTTCGACAGAACTGTTGTCATTCTTAATGTGAATGGCTAATTCTTCCAACTTCAATTTTTTGCTTTAGTTTTTGCTAGTCTATTGGGAATACTTCATTTGGCAATTCGACGTGGTATAATAGCAAACTTGTCTCGTTGGAACAATTGTCACTGAAGACTGAATTCGATCCTCACTAGGTGCCACATATTTTCGGCCTTTTGCCACATCTATGCTACGCTTAGAATATCACAATTGGTAGCACTACCAAATTTCTCTTTCGATAATAATTTTATACACAGAATTGTGGTTTAACGATTGGATCACCACTTGGTGGTATATTAGCATGTCCATTCTTAGAATTTCTAGAAACTCGTTCTTTCCAAAATATTTTTCCTATAAAATCAACACTACAAAACCTGCAACCGCGTAAAATGATTGCGGCGTCATGCGAACTATCAAAAGGAATCCTGGCTTGTAGCGCTTTTTCCTGTAGTTAAATTTCTTAGAATTCAAGATTTATGGTTTTTGGAAGAAAAGAAGGGAACAAATATTTCAGCATAAAGCAGCAGCAGTATGCTCATCCTGAAGTTTTAAAAAATTATTTTTTGTTATATTTCATCTATTTTAGAAAGCTAAACCATTATCTTTTGCTCTTTCTCAAATATATTTGTTTATATCTTTTGTGTTACACAAAGAAAAGATCGCTGAATTATGTAATATCAATCCCCCTATATAGCAGTGAATGCTGGACATTTTCCTCTCAGATGATTAGGAGACGAGGCAACAGAGATATGGTTCTACAGAAGGATACTGAGAATACCATAGTAGAGACGTGAGCATTTAAGAAGTCTTAAGGAAAATGGAGACAAAACGAATTTATACTTAGAATCAGATACAATAGATCTTTTTTGGCCACAAAATGAGGAAAGGGGGCTTGAAGAATTTGACACATATAGGGCATATTAAATGCAAGAAGATCAGAGGTAAATATCGTGTTGCCTACAGTACAAGCTCGTATGATGGCAGAACAGGAAGTAGGAGGACTAATAAAAACACATTGTTAAAAGCTACGAAGGAATGGAAGTTATGGAGAACTATAGTCATCCACGTCCTGATGGGACACGGCACACAGAAGACGCTGACATTTTTCTTTCTGTTGCGTTCATTGTTTTTAGATGAGGGAAATAAACATTGAAATGTTAAAACATGTCGCGAATTATTAGTCTACTTTTTACATTTTTTTTAGCATTGCTATAATATCAATAATGTTGATTATTATGATTATTGTAAGCACTTCCGGTCCAACTAGGGAATGCTGGGATCAAGACGTATCCAGCGGGTAGTTTGAATAAATTCTTTGTTGGGTTTAACACGTGTCGTATCGTCTTTGTGTTGCTCCGACTTTTCAGTGGACAGTCTAATATATCTTTCCACCCTAAGCTAAGTAAAACATGGTGTCAGGAGTGGGATGATATAGTATTTTTCTTATAAAAAGGCTCATTTTCCCCTCCTCTACGTATTGTATACCTGAAAAAGGCTGTATGATTGATCGAGACGTTGTCATGCAACACAATGAATCTGGTAGCTGAACAACTGTTAAATTATAAAGATTTTTTTTTAAATTATCGACAGTATCTTTATTTTGTGGATTTTTTTTTCTTTCAACAGGTTTCTTTCAAAAGAAATTGGGAACACAATCAGCCATTTGTTGGAAACTAATCTCGCGAAAGCCTGGACCATTCCCGATTTCCTGAGAAATGTAGAAACACTTCTGAAAAAAGTTCCAGTTCATGTTATGCAGCCAAGCCAAGATAGACTAGAAATATTCTACTTAAATCCCCAGGACACGTTAGTATCGATTATTTATTTACCCACTTTGTAAATTATAGAATTGTGGCATCATCGTGAAAGGGATAGTGTTACAGAATTGGAGAACCAAATTAGCAGTCAGTCTAGTAGATAAAAAAACCCCCTGAAAAACGGTGATCAATTGAATTAAACGCATCAATTCTGAATCTAATATATGTTGGGATTTTCCCTGTTGCGTGTGTTTTTGTTCGGGAGTGTGAGTGGAATGAACAAAAAAACCCAGAGCTTAAAAATTCAACAGTTTTTATTTCTGGTTGAATAGAGAGGGCAAAATAGTATTTTGCGTGGGTGAAATAGGGTTTCTCATGTTACTGACTCACGTTACTATACACCCAACTATTTCATGTGTAATAACCGTAGCTATTTATAGTTTTTGTGACTTCCTGTGTAAATAAGTCACCTCATCTCTCTATACCGAAGAGCTTTTATCCCCTTATTTTCCCCGTTTCCTCTTCTGGAACTTTTTGTCTCCTCGCTCAGTTAACAAAGTTCTTGACTACAGTAGTTGTTTTTGTTCAGAGATTTCTCAGCTACTTCTCACGGGAGGAACGAGAAATCTGAGTGTGAAGCTGCTAGGATAGGCCCCGTCTTTTGCAGCAAGGGTTGTTGAGTGTTTCGTAAAGAGAGATTTCTCTGCCGGTTCCCATACGAGGAACGAGAAATCTACGTCAAGGTGCCAAGACAGGCATCTTCCTCAGCAACGAGTGTTGTGCGTAGCCCTTCGAGCTGGGCTTGAAGGTTATGACCGCTGAAAGTGAGAAATGGAAAAGAGTTGGCCTTGAGTATAGAGGCCGCTGAATTGAAAAGAGGTCGAATAGTTAGTGTTTTTTATGGCCTCTGGGACTTCCGGTTGTACTCAGCTGATTATTTCCGCAGCTGCTGCTGAAATGAACAAAGTAAGGAAGCCCCGACATACCACAATAGCCAACAAGTGAGATAGTTTTTTTTAAATATATTTACATACAAGTTTTCGCTTAGGTCGGGATACAGACAAAAACCTCAAAGATTTGTTTTATTGGAGAGGATAACATATATAAGCAACATCTTATTTTGAATTAGAAGAAAGATATTTTACTCGCTGGAATATAGAATATTAATAAATTTGTTTTTTATGGCTTGTCAACCTTTTGCCGGTTATTCGAAGCTAGAAAATATTTTTTAGATTGTAAACATTTTTAGAGATTATAATAATTTTTACTGATACAAGTTGTACTAATTAATCTATAGATGGGGAGAAGTAAATAGATACCTTTCCCAGGGGTGTTTGCTCACAAGTGAATATAACTAACCCAACTAGTAATTGAACTCGGCTCTGCGATTTTGTTAATCTGAGCCGTTATTCATTGCATCATACCGCACGTCCAAACTAACAGCACCTAGTATTTCCAAGTGGTTACTCATTTAAATACTGACATTGCTTAACTTCTGTGATCGTACGAGAAACCTGTGTCATATAATCGTAAGATTCTGGAATATAAAAATATTTGTGGCATATTTTTCTGAGAAGTTCGTGAGTTAATGTAGTTAAAATTATTTTAATTTGTTAGCAGAAAGTTTAAGACGCACAAGCAGCAATATAAAATGGATTAATTTAATATCAGCAATTAAAAAGTGTTTTAAGTTGTGAGAGAGTGAGTGTAGTGAATAATTTCATTTACAATTAAGATTTATTTTATTTTAGCCCAAAATAAAGTACCTTGTCATTATTGTATATACGGACAAGCTATTTATAGAACTGTTTATAAAAAATAATTTTTACTATTGTACAGATGTCATTAGTATTTCGGTTGTAGTTTGGTAGACAATAATTTTAAATTGATAAAACCAGAAGGGTAACTGAAGGCCAGCCGTAAGCCGATTCTACTCATCAGCGACACACAAACTGTGGCCCGCCAAAATTGCTCCCATGTAGTCTCCGCACATCTGAAGTCCGGCCCTGGAGAAATTAAACATATTTATTTTCCCAGAAAATTTTTCTTGCATTTAAGGGATTTTTTTTTTTTTTTGTAATTTGAATTAGCTGAAATTTGTCTTGACAGATTTAGTTTGAACTGTTTCTGTAAGCAGCACGTGTCAGTGAAATTATTTGCGGCATATTCCCTGACATAAAAATACGTGGTGTAATGGTTAGAAAGCTTGTCTTACTAGATCAATTACAACTGAGTAGTGAGTTCGATCCTCGCTGGGTGCCCCATACTTTTGGCCTTGTGCCACATCTAAGCCGGGCTTAGAAAATCACTATTCCCTGACATAAAATAATGTGGGGAAAGCGAGTTATTACTCTTGTTAAATGGTCATTATTTAAATGAACCTACAAGGGACATTTCACATTTGAAATAACTCATTATTTTATTTTATAGTATTTTATCATAAAATAACCTTTGTAAAACTGATATAGTATCTTCACCCCAAAATAATAAGAATTTATATTTACGAAAATTCACACCAAATTCGCCCAGAGCGAGGCCTTTCCATTTCACTCCGTCTCGGCTGATCTTTTGCGATCACCTCAAATATGGGCGACTCGGGTGCTCTATTTCTAAGTGAGCTCACCCGATAAACAAGCCAAAAAACAGATTTTTTTAAAATTGTAAAAACTTCCTTGTAAGTATCTGGAATATCATCTGCACTTAGGAAATGTGAATAAATCCATGATTTTTGGTAATTTTTAATTCTGTCCGTTGGAGTTGTTGTGAGGCAAGCTAAAAAAAAAATAACTTTGATTTAAAATTTATAATTTCAAAACTCAAAAATTTAATAAAAAAAACCCAAACCAACTTTGATTTAAAACTTATAATTTCCTGTGGTGAATTAATATTTGTAATATGTAAATATACATTATTTGCGGTGAATTAACAGAAAAGATCTCTGGTATATGGTTATCATGAATGGTAATATTATGTTTATTATTTTGTAGAATTCCTCATTTAAAAGACGCGATTGCACAGGAATGGGAGATTCCGGGTCAACAACAACTTTTATTCCACGGTTGCATTAACCTTACCTTACCATTCGAAACCAAAAGCATCTCTGAATATCCAACAACACGACTTGGACAACCGATTATTTTAATTGAAAAGAACTTAATCAAGGATATCAAAATACCTACTTTATTGATCGGTATGCAAAAATTTCAATCAATTTTTCTTAGTACATATGATCATTTTGACTATAAGTGTGCGTGTGATAGAAAGAAAGAAGTGTTTTTGATATTGACTGGTGCTGAAAAGTAATCGACTCTATACATTCCTCAAAATGTGAATATTTTCATCAGTTTTCTGGTGAGAAAGGAGTTTTTGGTCGGGTTCAAAATATTTCAGTAAATTCTTGCATGTATACACGCACATGCATAGATGTACGCATCCACATGCCTACGTATATATAAGTAAGACACCGAACACATGTATATGTATGCAAATTAACACAGACACACACACACACACACACACACATATATATATATATATATATATATATATATATATATATCGCCGACAGTCCGACTCGGATTTTCATGCGTTGGACAATCATCAGTCGGCGTGTGGTATTATGTATATTTATTAATATATACTTAATAGCTCTGTTATTTTGCATTGAGCACCGTTTTATTTACACCAAAGGATATATAACACTTGCACATACATTTATTTATTTTTTGATTTTATATATAAGTAAATATTTTGTCAGCTGACTGATGTTACCTTCGGCATGCTGACCCCAGAATTTCGTAGACGGATCCTCCGTCCACTCGTAAGGGGGTATCATCAATTGACTTTTTATATTTCTCGATTTTTCTTTTATATATTCTCTTTTTATCGGTGCAAGTATTTTTTTCATAGTGTGTGCATTTGCGATATATTTGTAAGTGTATTTTTTCTCATAAAAATGCTTAACTTAATTTCATAAGAAAAAAAAAAGTAAGTAGCTCCCCACCTTTTCTGGTTGCTCACTTTTCTCTTTTTTACCCATTCAATTAATGGTACTTTGTTTTTCTTTTGTCAACCTTTCTATCATACACAGGAAATACAATGACTGGTTTTCCTTATTTTAAAATATTTATTTTCACCTACCGGTCGGAATATTCGAGAAATCTTATTTATCGAATAATCTTACTAAATACATATTGGTCATTTATGTCTCGCTAGATCAATTACGATTGAGTAGTTAGTTCGAGCCTCACTAGGTGCTCCATATTTTCGGCCTTGTGCCAAAACTAAAATAACTTACTAAATCATCATATTGATAACCTATAGTGGTCTACGCGGTTAGGCTGTGAAATAATGAGTTTATTTCTGGCTGAGTATAATATAAGTCAATAGTATTTCTTAAATTTCATTTCGTTTATTTTTCAGAAACCATATCATTTCCAAAGGAAATATCAGCCAAAGATTCGAGCATTGCCGTACAAATATGTGCTCAAATCTATAAGATGATGCGTCATTTTCACCATCACAGCCATATTCACGATTGTATGATGTACACCGTAGGGATAATAAAGTAAGTCCTCAAGATGAAGTTATTAACCACGTTTTTAAATGGTCAGTAATACTTGGAATAAGAAAAAATGCTGTCCCGTATATACGTTTTCCTTCAGTGAAACATGAAACCTAAAATTTTGACTCTTACTTCTTTAAATATGAACTGCATTCCTACTTCTGATTATTATTGCAATATTTTTTAAACTCAAATCTTTAACAATTTCCACGAGTATCTTATAGTCACAGAACTCACAAGGAACTTTTTCAATCAACTTAAGAATTATGATTCATCAGAAAATTCAAATAGCAAAACCGTGAAATGTTCACAGGTATTTCTAGTATGTATGATAATCTTTTATAAAGCTTTGTTATGCATTGAGCAACTTGGTTGTTTTATACTACGTTTGCGCATTTCGTGTCAAATATTAAATAGAAAGACGGAGAGAACATCAATGATTTTTTAAATTGTCGCCCAAGTCATATTGAAAAGGCAAGCAATACCAAATAAGACTAGATTGTCAACCATAATTTTATGGTAATGATATTGTTTTATTTTTTTTTCATAATTCATTTCTTTTCCTTTTCAGTTCTCTGATAAGTTCAGAAATCAGAAACACGCAACTACTGATGGGTCATTTTAATTATCACTCATTGGTGAGTAGATCACGAAATATTGTATTTAAATGCTGACCAAAACACGACTGTTAATAATATCAAATTTACGTTGTTTCTAATATATTAATTTAAATAGAATTAATAAAGTCAGTTTTTAATTTTGACATTATAAAAAGGTTCTAGACTTAAAGAACTTCCTAAATTCTTTTTAGTTCAGTGCAAAAAGATTGTCATCATCTGTTAACTGACAGGTGAGGTTGTCCCATTAAAATTAAAAATATTTAGTAATGTTTTATCAGCTGTAAGTTTGTAGCTGTGGTTTATTTAACTTTTTTTTTATATACGAATCTGAAAAACCCTTTTCTTACTAAGTCTTCCCATAACAGTGTCAGAACGCACCTTTAACAGGAAGAAAAATAAAATAAAAGGAAAATACCATCAAGATATTTTTTTTCTTTTTAAAAGCACGATAACATTATAGTTGTCACCGATCCCTTTTGCTAAAGGAAAACCCAGATGAGATGTTAGGGAAATGACGCTATCGTCTGGATTATTCTGGAAGTCATATCATTAAAATACAAAATCGGCCACACCCATTATAAAATTCACTGTTGATGATTATAGTAGATCTAACAGTGATGCGTTTTTATATATAATAATATTTTTTATATATAATATATTGATAATAATATAATATATAGGTTTTTATATATAATAAATATAATATATAGGTTTTTATATATAATAAATATAATATATAGGTTTTTATATATAATAAATATAATATATAGATTTTTATATATAATAAATTTTATATATATATATAGTTTTTATATATAATAAATATAATATATAGATTTTTATATATAATATATATTTTTATATATAATATATAATATTTTTTTATATAATAAATATAATAATAATATATAGGTTTTTATATATAATAAATATAATAATAATATATAGGTTTTTATATATAATAAATATAATAATAATATCATATATAGGTTTTTATATATAATAAATCTTCCGTTTTTAGTAAATAAAGAGAGATATTTAAAGGAATAAATGAGTAATGTATAATTTAATGAATTTACAAAGCATTTCATTCAACAGGTTTAATCTCTTAAAGAAATGTACATAAGCTACTAATATATTTATGTGTAGCTGTTTACAGATTCAGTGAATGTTTCGTTATGCGTCCGCCTGTGAATTCTCATTGTTACGCAAGCCGACAAATTCTGGAACTGTGTACGAACTGAAAAATCAATTATTGTAATTGCTACCTGAGATCTTCTGTAGTAACGTTTTTCTTGCACCGACGAGTCTTCAGTATATACGATTCTTCAAAATTTGCAGAGTCGTGATGAACATTGGCTTGCCAGAGTGAGCAATTACGACTACACTCCTCTAGCTCACTGGGTTTGATCTGGCATCACTGAAGGTTCATTTTGATGTAATCTAGGTAGCATTTTTTGTTGACCTCTAATCAGAGAATTTCATCCATTTTTCGATTTTTTGTTAGCTTCTCACACAAGAGCAATTCTAACAACATACTCAAACAATAAAGTTTTGTGTTAGTATTAATTATAACTAAATTTACGAATTAAATTTATATAACATACGTCATATAAGTTTATAGTGCAACAATTTTAATTTTCGTATGCGAATCGTTCGAATTGCAAATGGCTGCAAGAATAAGTGACTAAGTAATTTAATTAGTGCAACAAAGATGAAGCTACAAATCTGAATCATTAATAAATTTTAATATATTTTTTAAACATTGTTTTTGTAGAAACAAGAATATAAATCGAGTTTCGAATCTGTAAATATATTGGAAAACTTTACCGGATATTCCACTATTCGAAAAAAGTAAGTGAATTTTTTTTTTCCTACAGTCGACTAATTTTATTTAAAAAAAAAATATCGATATTTTCGTAAACCAATTGTATGTATTACGAAAGACGTCCTAAAATAAGTCTTCCACGATATGAGATACCCGAGCTGGTTTATAAGGTAAAATTGTTTAAAACGATTATTGTCTGATGAGCCAAATTGGTGAAACTATAGTAGTCAGACAATTATTTTACATCTTAATTCAGTTTTTGTACTGCTCTGTTCTTCAATGGAAAAATGTTGTTACTGTAAATTTTGGGGGCCGTAAGGCATGCTGCCATTGCTTTCGACGCACGTGTCTACACTCCTCGGTATTGTGCAGTGTTTCCAAGTTATATAAGTACATTTATAAATATTTTTTTTTATAAAACTCTCTTTTCGGCCCTTTTTTAGTTTCTAATTAGCACCCCATTCTTCATATAACCCCAATTTAATGTCATAAGGTTAATATCCGGGTTTAATTTTATTAAACCTCTTCCCTTTAAGGCTAATGCCTTCCACCCTCCCCTAACCACCGTCTCGGGCATTTCGTCTGACAAACATCGAAATGGATAAATTCTGTATCAATTTTTCGACGGCTGTCAAAGTTAAATTTCTAATTCCGATACGAACTCAGTCTATACACCGGGGTTGAATAAGACTGACGTAGTTTTCGTCGGTTGAAAAAGATCTATCCCCTCCATGTGGGGTAATTTTGGATTTTGTTATGTAATACTAATACACACACACACACACACACACACACACACACACACACAACACTTTTGACTGTTTTCCCCAATAATAGTTTGTTTCACGCAGTGTGGTTTTTCAAAATGTGTTTTCCTTGGACGCTCCCGTGCTGTACGGTCCTTTTTTATGTTTTTAAAGAGAAATACATCAGCCTTGCCGACAGTTCGAAATAATTTAATTCCTTTTGTTTATTAATCCGTTCAACTTAAATTATATAATTCTCAATTTCTCCTTCATACATATATTGCATTTTCTTCATCTGGTTTACTTAATCGTTTTTTTTTAATTATATTCCATTCTACTAATGTTTTTTTTTCAATTTTTAGCTTCCATAAGAAAAGGAATCTACAAATCGTATATCTTATTTACATAAATGTTATATTTAGTGGCTACATGTATTTGAGTAGACATCCATTTTTGCACTAGTGTAATTGACATCTACAGGCTTAGGCAATCGAAAGTCTTTATGCTTCTCGGCATGGTTCGTACCTGTGTCCTAATCCTATTGAGGAAATCACCAGATGTGCTCTAGTCTTTTCTCGTTGAACGGTTTTAAGAACAGCTGGCTTGAAGGTGATTTCCCAAGTATGAGAGGGGGCGCAGTTTCGGTCTCTGCCTAAAAACTAATTTTCCCAAACTAGAATTTTTTGGCAACACGCTGACGAATTTTAAATCCTCACAGAATTTGGTTTGGATCGGTCAATGTATGACTATTTTAGATGGTGTGACGGACTAACAGAAGTCTCAAAATTTTATATATAGATTGACATTTCGTTTGGACAAAAACTGCACCCTTAACTGCAAATGAGGGCTCTATGCAAAAAAAAAAAAAAAAAAAAAATACACTAACTGGTAGTTGGGTACAATTTGTTCGATACTTTTTCCTATTTGCCATTTTCACTTCATTCCAAGACGCAGCAGTATTTTGGATAGCACCAGGCATGTTATACACATGTTATACACATCACACCACCTTGTGTAACCCAAATTTTTAATAGACATTATGGCTGTTCATAAACAGTTGTTTGCAAGTTGGACGCTCATAAAGAGATGATTTATTCTATTCCATATCGATTTCAATTATTATATACAATTTTTTTTTCTTTAATATGAAGCCAATTTTTGTTACGTACGTAAAATATTTCTTCTTACATTGTTACATACGATTATACTTACTTTTTATTTATATTGCAGATACAAAAACGTTAAGATTCTTTTCAAGGAAGCCGAAAAGCTTTCGAAAATCATCAAATCGAGGAATATTATAACAGCAAATGTTTATTACAACGTAGCAGAAAGGTAACGATCTTATTTTTTATCTACTTTACTTTTAGTTACCTAATAGAAGAGTGATGTTTGTTTATTTTTAAGCAGTTGGAGGCTTTCCAAATCCCCCGAACTTAATGAGACCACCTCGTTTATTAATTTCGCAATTATTGACCATTTTAAATGCTTTTTTCGACCCCCACCACCCGATTATTAAAACTACAGCTTTGTATTAGGCACCTAAGATACACGGTGGAGTAATGGATAGCGGCTTGAATTGAGGAATCGGAGAGCCAAGTTCGAAATTCAGTCGAATCCATTACATTCAATTACGTGCTAATACCCTTAGGAAAGGAATGAATCCTCTTCTTCTTCCCCCCCAGCTATGGGTAAATAACAGGACAGACCAGGTTATATAGCCTTGGATAGCAACTGTTCTACCGCAGAAAGAAATGGCAACCTACTGCGTCAGATCGAAAGATACATGATCGTCTAAGCGTGTATCACGCATGACACACAACTGAAGGGTACATAGTTACATATTATTCTATACTGAAATAGCTTTAAAATCGTTAACGTTTTAAGGGCATATTATTTGGTTTAAACTATATTTAAGAAAATTAAGTATGGCATAGAATTGTTTAAGGTAGATTATTATCAGCAATATCTGATCTAGCGGCTCGGCTTTCAGCCACTTTCCCACCGTCGTAAGGTTGCTTCTCTGTGTCTTTTACTTTCATGGTAATTGTTCGGATGAACTCTTCCCTATGGTACCTAGACTTTTTGAATTTAAGCGCAGTACTAGACTGGCGTCAAGATCTCATCAATTTACAGTTAAACTAGTTATATGTAACCGTAAATTCTGTGCTAACAGCTTCTTTTATCGAACTTTTTGCTTGTGGAACTCCCTTCCGGCTCCATACATTCCAGCCAATCTGAATCTGCAAAAATTTAAACGCAATGTCAATCGCAATCTACTGTTCTCCTGATTACCCTTTCCTCTTCCCGCTCATTATTAATGTTTCTTTTCCTATTTTTTTCCACACCCTGTAACCCCTTGTGTCTGCGTGCCTTGTATATGGGGAGATACCGATTTAACAAACAAAGAAAATGAGTTTCATCAACTTTTTAAATTCGTAATGTCATTCTTCTTTTATGGAGCCTGTTCCTTTCGGATGTGGTCGATCATGGCTCTCTACAACTTCTTATTCTTTGTAGCTATAATGTTTGTCATGTTATTGTTCTGTCATTCATTTACACAAACCCGTTAGGTAGATTACTCGGTGTTTCTCTCTGCCCTTTCAGGATGTGGTCAATCGTGGATCTACACACTTTCCTATTCTTTGTAGTTTTAAATAAAGTGTGTCCCATTATTATCTACAGTTCTTGTTCTGTCATTCATTTACACAAACCCGTTAGGTAGGTTACTCGATGTTTACCTCATCCCTTAATATTATGTGTATTACATGCGTTCTATATAGCATTCGATTTCACTTTCGAAAAAAATAAAATGACAAAAATTTTTAAAACAGTGCTCTAGATAAAATAAATTTTATTTTATTTTTACTTTTCCACACCTCTAACGATGAGTTATGTGTGTTAAAAGATCGGACATAATACATATTTTGGAATCTACAACAGCTAAAGTTGTGTGCTGTTTTTTGCATATGAACAATTTAAAAAAAAAAAAAACAGGCTGTTAATTCAACGCTTTTTTAAAATTTTATTTCGTGTCCATTTTTTGGATATTTTTATATTAATTATTTTGAACTAGTGGGTTTGTATATTCTTGAGTTTAAGTCCGAAGTTTAAATCAAATTCCTTAGATATATTGACTATCAGCCATATAAGTGGAATAATAATAATCAAATCACTGCATAATGTATTTACATGATTTATAATTTTGTTTCAGAAATTACTTGGAAGCGATATTTAAAAAAGTCAAAGCCAATTTTGATGAACATGAAAAGTTGTTTGCGAAAGTGAGAGAAGATTTTCAAAACTGGCAAAGGTATCTATCTCTCTCTATCTATCTATCTATCTATCTATCTCTCTCTATCTCTCTATCTATCTATCTATATATATATATATATATATTCATAATTCTTTCTACAAGCCTGTCACGCTTATATAAATTTGTCAGATATTATTTGATTGTACATACTCATGTGAACACACACACACGCATCCTTAAAAAGACATTCTAAATAGGAAAATAATATGAAGATTATTTTTATTAAAGATCATCTTTTTTTCTATTTTCAGAAAAAGTCTCAATGCCCTTGAGGTTATTTCAAATCTGAAAAAACGACTAATAGCAGAGACAACATTTCAAAAGGTTTGTAATCTATCATGACCAATGTTATTTAAAAAAAAGACAATGCTCACCAAATCTATAGAAGGAAAATTGTATGAAGATAAATTATTAAAAGCGTGTCTTGCTATTTCTCATTATATTTGCTGTTTCTAAGCAATTGATATTGACCCGTTAAATCTGTTTTACTCAATTTCTAACGAATTGTTAGTTATCTGTTAAGTCGATTTTACTCAATTTTGAAGAAACTATTTACCCGTTAATATATTTTGTTCACTTTCTCCGAAATTGTTATCTATCCGTTAAACCAATTTTTCTCAGTGCATATGAAATTATTTACCCGTTATGTCTATTTTACTAAATTTCTAATGTCCTATATCTATATTGCTTTCCTTATTTTTTTTTATTCAGATATATGAAAATACCAAATGGGATAAAAAAATGTAAGTATTGTTTATATTTATATACTTATCCTTTATGTTCTATTGTTGTAAACCTTGAGCATTCCTAAAATGGACAATTTCATCATGGCGCTGCATATTTGTAAATGTCGACAGATTTTCTTCAGTTACTATTTAATCTTCAACAGAATTTTCTTGTGTACTGAGAGAGAAAAAACTAGACTCTTGTTTACTGACACAAAAAGTACATTTACAAAGAAACTTTTTGATGAAGCCAAGTCTTTTTATTTTCATTAAAATTCCTATTTTTCCAATGTTCTCGATTCTTCTTCTTAATAATAATAATGATAATAATAACACTATAATGTTAGCCAAATCAGAAAATAATCCTATGTGTGGTAAATCATTTTTGCAAACATTTTCTCATTAGAAGACATCAATAATTTCAAAATCATATTTTATTTTTCAGTCGCCAACAAACAAATGAATTGATTGCCTGCTCAAAGACAGAAGCAAATAGGTAAATATATATTTTCAATATAAACATCTACATATGAGTGAATTTTTCAATAAAATTGATGGCTTTTTTTAAAAGGGTTTATTAAAATAAGTCCATTGATTTGTAATAGAATCATAAGCCAATGGGTTGAAATATATAATGTTGGCCTTAAATTATACTCTAATACCTATTTCATATGGCCTCAAAATTCCCCCGTAATTGATCAAATTTCAAAATTTTCTTGAGGATTTGCAGCAGCTGACTCCCCAACAGCAGGGGATCGTTGGGATCACCAGAATCTATTCATAGCCTACATTTTCACAATTAGATCCTCGATTCTATTTTTGCTGGTTGCGAAGAGAATCCTATATCTTTTCAAGCTTCAGAGCTTCAAAAATGTTGGTCTGCCACTGCACATAAATATACATGAAATCGTTTGGTCGTGTATAGCGAACAGATAAACAAACTGTTCCCAATTTTATATATATTATATATGTGCTGACAGATTACGATTGAAGCTGTTTGTTATAGCATTAGTTTTGTTAGGAAAGGAGATATGTTGTTTGAACCCTGAAGTAAATTTAACGTGGAAGACTCCGAAATAAATGCATTTTCTATTGAAAGTGCATTTTCGCCCAAATGACTTACTTTCTCTTTCTCAGCGTAAAACTACAGAAACTAAAGAAGACCAAAGCAAAGCCTAAACTGCGCTATGACACTCTTGAAGGACCAAAGTTGTAAGGTGACATAAAAAAAAACACAGTTGAAACAACGATATATATTTTTATCTAACAAGAACCATATTGGGTTTCCTTTAGGACTTCATCAAACTAAAATAAACACGTCTCAAGAAAACTTTTTCCACTTTGTTTTTTTGGAAAATGTATGACAGTTACAAACGAATATAATCTGATGAAGAATACAAAATCAAAGTGGAATATGCTGAGATAAACACTGGTGACATGGGCGAACGGTATCATCCCAAGGAAAACGAGACAAGAAATGAACGAATGGATGACAAGAAATTCTAGAGATGATGAAAAAGTGACAACAAACAATGCCAAGGAATGGAAAAGTATACCGAATACTAAACACAGAAATTAAAAACGAATGTAGTCAGTCGGAATGTAGTCAGAGGAACGGGTTAGTGAAAAGTGTGCAGTAATAGAGAGAATGGGCAACCAAGATACAGCAAGTATGCCCAGCAAACTATAAGAATTAACAGGACGAAAAATGAGCCAACCAATAGGCTGTATAAAATCAAAGGATCACTTTTAATAAAAAAGAAAAAGAAAAGCTCTCCAAAGGTGGAACGAATACATCAATGAAGTTTTTCACGATACGAGAGAGAAACCTACGATGGAAAATACAGAAAGGCCAGAAATACTAAAGGACGAAGTAAGATCAGCACTAGAGGAGATGAACAGGAACGAAGCAGCAGGGCATGATGGGATCGTACCAAAAAGACTTAGACGACTTCGGCATCGATAAAATCACAGTAGTAGTAAGCGAAATACACAACAGTGGCGAAATACCGGAGGATCTCACTAAATCCATTTTCATAACATTTCGTAAGAGGCTAGGTGCAAACAAATGCATACTTCGTAGAACAATTAGTTTAATGAGCCACATAACTAAACTAATTGTGTGATGAATAAAACGCGAAGCAGAATTAGATCGAAAACATGACAAGAACAGTGCGGCTTTGTCAAGGACACCAGAACAAGAAATACAATATTCATGATCAGATCGATATCAGAGAGTAATACAAATGAAGAAGGATGTGCACTTATAGCTTATATGAATGGGTTGTGGGGGGTTCTGAAAAGGGAACTGTATAATAATAAATATTATTGTAATAATTTAAACTATTTATTTTTATTAAATATTTTATGAAAGATATATATATCCAAGAACAGATAGTAAATAGTAAAACGTTGCTGAGTGTTATTATGGACAGGAAGTAGTGGAGAGCCATTGTCACCAACAATTTGGAATCAAAACCGGTACTGAAGAATTATCTATCAAACAAAAACAAAATTCATCAAAATCAGATGAAAACTGTGGAAATGCATAATCAGCATCCAATCATATATATATATATATATACACACACACACACACACACACACACACACACATTTTGAGAATTATAGATATAGATTACGGCAATTCAAAGCTAATGATTTGCTAAAAACTTAATTTTGATTCAAGAAGTCAATTAAAGCATAGCAATTTTGCATAAAAAATTAATCTATTTTCATTCTTGTTTTGTTTTACAGATTATCGGATTTAAATTCTGCCTTAGACCAATTGGTTTCTTTTGATATGTGTTTCAAGTGAAAACAAGGACAAATATATTTAGTCGCTTTGCTCCACGTGGAAATAATCTGATTTCCCTAAATCTCGCCTTATTTCTTCGGATGGAAAAGTAGAAAATCTGAAATGCTTCTACATACATGCTTCTCTTCCTTAGAAAATCCTGATTTTGTATTGACAAAATGGAAGCGTTAGCTCATTATCACTGAAGAACATTGACGATAAGGAAGTACTCGGAGTACTGATATTTACATGTAGGAGAAGGTGGTTCAAAACAGGAGCATAAAGAAAAGCAGCTTGGGCTAGAAAAATTCTGGCGGTGTCATCCAAAAATGAAGAAGTAAAAATTAATTTAAGGGATTATGGAATTCATTCACTTTTTTTTTTTTTAAATGAACTCATAATTTTTTAAATTATTTAAAATGATTGTTCATTTGTCCATATCAGCAGACGACAACTAATTGACCTTGAGGAAGCGATGCATAATAAAGGCTTCGGATGTACTATCACCAACTAGCGAATACCTTGCTAGAGAAAACAACTCCAAAGTTACCAAAACTCTAATCGGGTATGTTAATATGGAAAGTTAGGCACGTTTTGAAAAAATTAACATCGCCCCAGTCGAATATGACTAACGAAGAGAAACCGGCATTTAGATCTGTACGAAGAGACAAACGGGTATTTCAAACAAAGGTAACGCAATGGCGATACCTGACAAAAATGTGTGAAGAAAAACTGTCTAACATATTTGTGTTAAAGTTATAAAGCCTCCTTTGGTCATGGAGTATCAATTGTCACAGACCCTAAAGAGAAGACAAGAACCATTTTACATCTAAAGGGCATAGAAACCGTGTTCTTCCTAAGATGCATAAAGACCACAACGAACTGTCTTGGAGTGACATGTGTCACCTCTTTCACCTGCTTTTTATAAATACACTAACGAATGTGAAGAACTGTACTCATTCTGAGGAACTGATTACAAAGGTACCCGCTACAAGCAGTGACCTTGTTTAACAAACTGTGAATGGATAAGAATTTTTATCATGTGAGACAAACAATCCTTGCTTGACGTACTCTAAAAAAAGGACTTACTGGAGATGTTCCCATTTTGTATAGGGACAATGTATTTGTGTCTTAACGAGAAGTTTTAACCTTGGGATTTCCATCTTTCTACGTGATTTCTCATATTTATATGAAGTTATTTGAAAAGCTATTTTACTTCATTGAAACGTTCGATTTGGTTTAGATGCGTGGATGAGATCTTTTATGTTTTGTCTTCAGTTTTGGCTGCATCATATGAACTTGATGGTAAAAAGAATACAATAACAAATTTCTATTTTTTAGGTGAGTAATCCGCACTTCTGAGACATATGATAAGGAAAGAAGTCCTGGAGAATTTAATAGTAACAGGACATTCTGACAAGAGAAACAGGAAAAGGAGAGTAACCTAATTAACGAGTTTTGATGCGAATGGATGGTAGAGGGTCAAAAGACAGGAAGTTGTGGAGAGGCATTAAAACTTATGCCCTGAAAGTCATACCAAAGAAGAATTTAACACTCACAAGACATATTGAAGTCAATATATGCGGGGAGGAGTTGGTCAGCGAGTAATTTGTCTAATGTGTTTGTGTGAATAGGTTGCAGAAAAAGGGTAATGATAAAGTGTGAAAAATTACTATTTTAGCACGTAGGCTCTCCACAACTTCCTGTCCTTTGTATCTCTTAAGAAATTTTGCCTTTTCGTTATTTCTCCTAGAGCAACGAAAGACAGGAAGTTGGCTAGAGGCTGGCTATATAGCACTTGTGTGTATAGAAAGCAAACAGATATATATGAATTTTAGCTTAAAAACAGTGAATTTCTTACCTTCAATAAAGCTGATAACGGGAGCTTAAAAATAAACATTTTCAAAAGTTGGTATTGTATACAATAAAGAAATAACAATGCATTTGTCAATCATAAACAAACAAAAAACAAAACAAACTAAAGTTTCAAATTAGTGTGATACGTTGGCATTAGACGAATTTAAAGAACGCTACATATCTAAAACAGTCTTGAAATGCGCCAGGAAACTTCCTCAGTGATCTTTATTCCTGGTGTCATTAGGGGTTTCGGGCATCTAAAAACAACAATATATCTATTATTTATCTATTTATTACATTCGATCATGCTAAAAAAGCTGTGATTAAAGAAAGACATATCATTACTTATGGGCTTAAATACCCATGTCTTCATTTCTTAGAAAAGAAACTAATAAAATAATTCACATTTTATCATTATTTAAATTAGACTTGAATGTTTGAATCGCGCAGAAAACAATTTATAATTAATAAAATGTTAATAAAATATTACTTAAACTGATTTAATGTTCGTTTTAATTACCTTGTAAATTCAATTATTTCTTTTTTTATCTCTTACAGATTGCTTTAATTTTGTAAATATGGAATTTGTGTAAGCTTTTTATGTTTACAGACCTGTAAACAAAACTTAAAAAGAAAAACAACGTAAAACTTTCAAGTTTTACTTTGAAGTCTTTCTCTTCCTTTTTTTTTTTACTATACCTTTTCAACTTCAAAATGATAATAATCAACTTCAAAATGGACTTATTTTCAGGTAAAAAAAATTAATCAACTCCAAAATGGATTAATGGAGGAGGATGAATATAGGCAACACCAAATTTTCAGACTTGCCCCCTATAGTCCGATGTTAAATCCCATTGAAAAACGTTTAAAATCTTTTGTTTTTTCCAGTCATTTTCATCCGGATAAAGATCCCCATGCTAGATTTCCAAGCACCAGATGAAGGTCCAATTCTTCAATCCCGGGATCATCCTGATTCCAAAACTGTATAATATGTTTATGTAGAGCAAGTGTGGCCCGAGTTAGAGGGGTTTTAGACATGTGTATGGACAGAGTTTGCTATTTATTTATCTAAGTTTAAAACATGCCACTTTATAAATTTATCGGTTATGCAACCCGATCTCCCGTTTTTACGTTAACTGGATGCATTATCAATAAGTGAACATGCCTTGTGCTACTACAACAACGGAATATCTCATCAGTAAATACGTAGATCAGGTTGCTAATAAACTGCGTTTTATTTTGTGCAGCGAGGTATTTATTGTTTGGAGAGAACGGTTGCCAGTTCAGGAGCACAATTCTTTAGGACAACTGCAGGGATATTGTCAAATCCGCATGAGTTGTGGAGATCGCGATCTCATCTAGAAATTATAGCAGAAACCATGGACAGAATTATGTGCATTATCACTCAGTAGAGACTCTGTTCTAGGTTTTGGGCAGTCTGTTGAGAGTGGAGTTGGAAGAGAATTTTCAAGCAAAGCACTCTGCTTGATCTGCAGTTGATGTCAATACTTCAAATTGATTCAAGACAGGAGAAGCTGAAGATTTACTTTCGCACTTCACTTCAGTAATTTCTAGAATCAAAGTTGTGAGGGGCTATACGGTGTCTCATTCTATCAGCGAATAGTAACTTTGCTTCTTTGAGGACACGCTTGAACACATTACAAGCAAAGATAAGGAGACGTCTGTTACACTCAGAAAGAAGACATGATTTCTGTGGACTATAGCGGCTGAACAGGCAGGATAGAGCCAGGGGGAAAGATTGTAGTTTCAATTAGTATTTTCGTGCTGGCACGAAAGCTTCGATGTCGACTTTCACCCAGGAAGAGACCTCAGTGGCACATTTCTCAACAGGATAATTCTTTTTAAGGGGCTGCAGTCTTAGAACATTTCAGCACTAAAATAGAACGATTTTATTGGTACGTCATTTTTCCTCTTTATGACGTGCTATGTACGGCTGCGCAAATGAAAAATTCAACGAAACTGATTTTGAAATTTACAAAATTGATGGTGTGAGTGTTGTTTCTTATGTGCATATATGTTTCTGTAGCCCATAAATTATTTATTGATGTTTCCTTTCAATTGCTGAATATCAACAGAATAAAAATTACTGATTAAATGATGTAAATAATGAAGTATTTCTATTTGCAGCTGTCTCTAATTCTGGTTTTACTTTGTTTATTAAGTTTTAAGCAGTAACAAAATAACTCGACCTACTTTCCAAAATCAGTGTTTCAATGACTAAACTCCAAAATGATAATTTTAGCATGTGGGTAATACCAAAAACGTCTCAATATTATTGCATGATAAGATAAGCAATTATCTAAACAAATGTGTCATAGACGTTAATCTCCATTCATTTGCTCTTATTCTAATTATATAATGCGTAAATAAGTATAAACAATATATATATATATTTAGTTGCGTCCTCTTTCTTCTTCTTGATAAGGCTATTATTTGAAAATTATACTATCGCATCCTATTTAATTTTTTTTTATCTAGATTATACCAGTGCTATTAAAATCACTGAATCATCAAAACATATCTATATAACGGCTTTCAGTACGTGAAGTAATATATTTGTGGTTGTAAATTACATTCCGAGGACATCAGACGAAACCATGGCTTCAAATAAAAATGTATCGATGATACTAACTTCTGAATCTGATCCTGGCACTCCCTTGAAAATTCTAGGGAACTGTGCCTATAAAATGGACCACAAAAGGCGAGGGATCGCTCTGATAATTAACAACGTGCTGTTTGTGAATGGGATGCCAGAGAGACAAGGGTCAGAAAAAGACGCCTATTGTATGGAAACAACATTTAAAAAACTTGGATTCCGTGTTATTATCCGTCACAACAAAAGTGTTAAATCTATGAAGGATTTATTCTATGATCTGAGTGTCACAGATCATAGCGACAATGACTGTTTTGTTTGCGTTATTCTCACTCACGGTGAGGATGATGATATTATCTTTGGCATCGATGGTAAAATTCCAGTCGAAGACCTACTGGCATATTTTCTTCCTGACAAGTGCCCGAGTCTCTCAGGAAAACCAAAACTTTTTTTTATACAAGCTTGTCGTGGAACCAAAATGGACGAAGGCAAAGAAGTCCATGATGCAATACCCAGCTTTCATTCAAAGTCAGCAGTAAAACATTCTAAG